CAGTGGAGACGGCCAGCAGCTATGAATCGGGACAGTTCCCTGAGGAAGGAGAAGAAGTTTAATTCAGTTAGCCCAAACAAAAACATCCGTCATAACGTGACACTTCCCAAAAGCCTCAACCTGAGCATATGGTACGGGGGAAACGGGGAAACCTACACTTAAAAGAATAGTTTCAATTTGGGAAATGCGCTTATTCATTTTCAAGAGTTAGATGAGACAATTGATTTGACTCTCATGCCGATGTACGATGAACATGAAGCTACAGCCAGCAGCAGGTTAGCTGAGCATAAAGACTGGTGATGGGCTCTGTCTGAGGGCAACAACACACCTCTTAAAAAGGTCAACAGGTTATATCTTACTTTCTTAATGAACAAGCAGTTGTACAGGGGGTTTTGTGCTGTAATATCTTTGCCAGGTCCAGTAACTTTTTGGAGTCTCTGCTGGTTGCCTGGCAACGTCATTATGATGTTAAGAACCACTGAACAAACCGGCTGGCGCTGGTAGCTTCCTATTCTAACTCATCTAACTCTAAGTATATTTCCCAATATGTCAAAATATTCCTTTATTGTTCCCAGGAAACTTTAAACACTTTTTCATGGTGAATCAATGCAAATGACTATTTAGACCTTCCATAGAATTTGAGCTGATCCAATTTGCATCTAGAAATGTATCACTTGAGATTATCTGACAGAAGTGTGTCCAACCCGTCCTGCTCTAAACTCTAAAAACCGTAAAGAGAACTACAGATAGAAGTGCCCAGAGGATCTGGTGTACAGGCACTCACTGGTCGATGAACTCCGTGCTGACACCGAAGGCCTCAGCCATGTAGCCCAGGGTGAGGGAGCGGTAGGACTCTAGCAGCTGGCTGTAGGCCTGGATCCTCATCTCCCTCACATAGTAACGGTAGTGTGGCGCAAAGAGCCAGTCCTTCTTCATCTCCTGCTCCACCATGGCTGTGGCACAAAAAGAACAAAGTTTCTCATGAAGTGGCTGCAAAAATACGCTAGCATTGGAACACATAATGCCTGGGAACATAATCCTACTCTGACAAATTCAGTATTGATAAAAAGCTAAATAAGACTCTACAAGTGACCGGATAAAAGTATTTTTCAATGGTTTTAGGTCAATAATCGAAAAAGCTTCCTCACCCAGAGATTGGAAGAACACGGAGTAACGGCACTCGTAGAGGGAGAAAAGATACTGGCGAACAGAAGGCAGACTGTGCAGCACCTCCAAGATCTCTGCTCCCTTTATTACCTGGACAGGAACACATGTCATTGCAGTCACATTTCACTCTTTACAAATTCACACCCAAACTTCCTCACGAGTCTTTCGTACCTTTTCACGGAGGTCAGGCCTTTTGAGGGCGATCATGCAGACATAGACGGTGTAGGTGACAAAGGTCTTGTAGTCCATGAGCTCGTAGGAGGTGAAGGTGGAGACCGTGTCGAGGAAGAGCTCCGCAGCTTGTTTGAAGTCCCTGATGGCCACACAGTACAGGCCCTGGTAGACCTTCAGACGATTCCTCCTGTCCCAGTCTCCCCCCTCCTCAATGAGGCTGTGGAGACAGATGCATTGGCTGATGAGTGCTGAAAAGATAACCCAAGCAGTTGGTGGGAATGTTTCCGATGGCGGATATCGCAGCCTTTACCTTTTAGCTTTCTCCGAGTTGCGTGTGATGAGGTCACTATCCATGTAGAAGAGGCCGATCCTCAGCAGGTAGAAGACGATATCTAGTCTGTGACCCAGAGCCACTGTCTTGTCATAGGTCTTTCTGAAGGCTGTTAGGGCACCCTCCTGTGGAAATAGAAGATAATGTCAGTGAATCTGCTACTATTTCAAAAACAGTTTTTACCAATATAACTGTTGTTAGTGCTATACTATTCCTGAAAGAAACTGTCAACCACTTTGCCATAATGTCTGTCACTTGATGTGGGATGTAGAGCACCTAAAAGAATATAGATTACCTGTCATCCAAGCTACTGAGATGCTGATATTATGTGTAGTGGAGTAAGAGAGTGCCACTTGCTTTAATAAAAGTCAGCGGCAGGAAAACATGCTGCAGAGCGCTTCAGAAGCACTTAGGATTTCGGTCCTGATACAAAGCCATATAACTGAACAGGGAAAAAGTGGGGGATATTTTCCTTGAAAAATATACTTAGCATTAACATGATTGAGTGTTTGTGATATTACCTGGCACACATACCATGTTTTGTTATGAATTGTGTCCATTGTCTAATAAAAATAGGACTGTGCCTGGGCTAGGGAGACAAGTTTGTTTTAAAGCTGAATGATGTCTGTTTTCAGGACTGACACTATGATGTACTCATCCACAACGGTCACAGCACAAAATGTTGTAATCTACTGCAACGGCACTAAAACTCCTGCTGTTAATAAAATTAAATGCAGAAAACTTAGATTTCCAAAGAAAGGAAGACACCTCGGGCCCTCAGATAAATGACACTAACTTCTTGTTTACTGACCTAGTGCGCACACAAACAACGTACACACCGGGTGACCGATTACAGTTATTCTCAGTACGGTGCTAACTCTCACAAAAAAGATTTTCACAAATTCACAGATGATTATGTGTTCAATGGGGTAACAGGATTGTTGCAGGTTTCAACAGGTTAAATTTAAGACGTTCTAAATGCAATTTAAAAATGTATTTCACATCCAGATTGGCAAGTATGAAAGAGATGAAAGGGAAATCTGCACTGGTTTCCCAAACCAGAAACTGAAAGATGCAACTTTATACAAGTAACATTAATTTCATTAATTCTATCATTTTTTTAAGACCTGTCAAAATCATATTCAAGAAATGTTAGCCTGACATTCAGATGATTGGATTTAAGACTTGTCAAGAACCCGCAGACACCACTGTGTATTACTCCATTAATATGGCCATAGAGTGTATCCTGGATGTGTAGAGTCATATTCATGGTGTCATGTTAGGCTTTCTAGAGCCAGTCGAATCAAATAAATACTAATAAACACCGACACATCAATCACTTACCACATGAACACATCAAATAACACCCACAGCTGGCCACTATT